AGGGAGGTTTCGGTGATGGGACATAATAATCAACTACATTGTATATTGACAAAAAAAAAATGTTTCATTGCAGTTATCTTTGTCAATAATGTCACCATTTTGACTTTTAAAAGTAATTGCACCAATCTGCACCAATTAATACCTTTAAACATATATGCCTGGTACTGACTTTTCTAATAAATGAATATACTTTAAAAATAAAATTTATAACTAGTGCCAGACACTGTCTTGTGGCTAAAATTTCCTTTACAATTATGTATGCATAAACACACACACACAATCAGACCAAAAGTTCTTTTGTACAAGTCATAAGTTATAAAATCTTCCATTCTTAACCCTGGTCTATTTTGAACATAATCCCCTACCACCAGTCTGGCTGGCTTTACCCCACTAAGATCTTTTAGACTCAAAGTTTCCAGACATAGGAGCAGCCTTCACTCAGAAGACTAAGTCTTCACTCCTTCCTTGTCCTCTCATCTCCTGATTCCTGCTGGTTCTGCATCTATGTTCACCTATGTGAAAAGAACATTCGCTGCATAAACTACTTGTTACATTATTAGCGGCCCATTACAGTGACAGGAATTGAATCGATGCATAAATTTTAGGCTCCAAATGTTCAAAGAAGGAAGATAAATATTCCTTTTATACCTTTTAGAAAACTTTTCTTTTTCAAATACAGAAAATGATGCACTGAAGAGAATAGAAACACGTGATGATGTACCATAGTTTAACACATATTCAAAAAAAAACACTGCTTAGGGTCTGGCAGAGGCGTTATCACCCATGACTGTTTCCATTTTTAGGATTCTCCAAAATGGCAAAGTTAATGGAAATGTATAAGAAATGTTTCTGCAGGTTAAGTGTTAAGTGGAATAAACAATGGTAGACTTTAGGGGGGAAAAAAATCAGAGATTTTTATGGTACTCATTTTCTATTTTTATACTTTTATTTTAGGATATTGTACAATTTTCAAAGCTAACAACAGAATCTTTTTTGTATGTGTATTTAAAGCATAACAAAATAAAAGTATTTCACAAAAGAAGTCCATATTACAGTACTATTGAAATATGAGGCATAGGGTAATTATGCATTTGTGGGTTATAACATAATACATTCACTTTAAAGAATAAACATTTAATGTGAATAACATCTTGGTTAAAATAAATATCATGGTAAATGTTAACAGCAACACCTGAAGTATATGGATACAAGAAAGGTGTTTTGTGATTGATGCTATGTAGAACAGTCAAGCATTCATGAAATGGCTGAAATATCTTACTAAATTTACAATCATTGCACATTGTTGAGCACTTTATTTATATAGGGATCCCCCTTCATCCACTATTCCTAAACCTCAGCATATAAAATAAAGTTACGCCACATTTTCCCCTGGGTAACTGGTACCAATGTCTAAATAAGGTTTAGAATCACATGTACCTTTCATCTTACTGCTTCTCAAATCAATTCAAATATTTAACTTAATATAAAATTTAATTATGAACAAACATAAAGAGAATTTTATAGGTGATTATAAAAATTAGAACTTCTAGTCATCTGCATAATTCCTTGAAATGATCCCATTCAAAATTAAAATTTGGTTTTTATACAGCGGTTTCTTCAGGAAAAATATGAACACAGATTTAAAAAAGATATACTATCTGAAACAAAAAGTTTCCACGTGCAGAATATAATGGATTTCCCTGATCATTAAAATTCTTCCCAGCTATTGCCTTCTAGCAGATAGATTCACTGAAAAAAGCTTAAATATTTACTTAGAAGTCAGTGTGAGGGGTTAAGCTAATGAATTTTAGAACCATGTATTCTTAAAGACTGCCAAAAAAAAAAGTGTTTGTTCCAACCAAAGAACATTTCATCTCAAATATATCACACTAAAATGAACATGACTCTAATGGTCAACAAAAACAATTCTACTTACACTTCCAGGGACAAATCTACGGATGATCAGTGTTAATGTTATCAGTCACTGGAATATGAGAAAAACAATATATCCAGCCCTCATAAAAAAGGACCAACCAGGTTTTCTTTCCCTATTCCAAGACAAAATTACCCTTCAGATACCAAACATAACCAATTAAATTTTGGAAAAAAAAAAAAAAAGTTTATACTTTTTTCCCTTTGTACATTTAAGTTTACAAATGACTTGAAAGTATTCAAATGAGTGTAAGAAAAATACTCATATAAAAAAACCCAGCAGTTATATAGCCTAAAGGTAGGTGTTCTCTGAATATGAGGTTTTTACGTTGGCAGGATAATCCATCCCGAGGTTTATGGTGGCACGGCATCCTCTAACAGTGACGGCCACTGGGCCTTTGGCTTCACAATGCTCTGAGGAACTAGTCACCATCAACAGGAAGGCATTCAGAGAGAACACATCTGCACAACAGAATTTACTACACTCACGCCTGCTGTCACCTTAAACTAAATGAAGCATTACCATCTCTGTCATTTTCGTGCACAAATACAGTACTTTGCTCAAAAGCTTCTCAACAGAAATGTTAATCTCGTAATAATTCTGGCTGTAGTAATGGCCACTTTTCATTTCTTTAAATGTATTCTAAAAATACAACCTTGTCAAATGAATTGAAACCGTATCAACATTCACAGGTACAAGACAACACACATCCTTTCTTCCTTTCTAACAAGACATGCATACAGTGTGGGCCAAATTTTTAAAAGTTTAAAAAAATGTTTTCAATCCAGGAAAAGTGTTGGTATACCAAATATCTTTTAAAAGGGTATTACACTCTCAGAAAGTCTGAAACAAGAATGGATAAAATGCACATACAATATAAATAAGAAAGTAACTTGAATCTAAAAAGAAAAATTTCTGAAGGGGACCCATATGAACTTCAATAAATCTATGAATAAAAACGTATGCTTCCTTTATAGTGTACAATTATGAGCTAAAATGCATTTAAATTTAAAAAGAAATTGAAATATAGTACTGCACAATTATTCAACGAATATTTTTCAAATGTACAAACAATAATAAAAACACACACACAAAAAGCTTTGTGTAATGTGAAACTTTAAACATTACTATCACACCAGCCAAACAAATCCTTAACCACTTTTTAAACAGATTCATTTATACCTTTTTAATGCACAGAGAATATCAAAGATATTGAAACAAAACAAAAAACTCTTCAGTGTCTGACTCACATTTTGTCCCCAATCTTTTCACATTTAATAGTTGCAGTTTGAATGAATAAGCTAAAAATTTCAAATGTTTCTTAGTTTATGTCTACATTTATCATAAGACTTATATGAAAGCTACCATGCTAAGAACTAAAACACATACTTCAAACTTTAAAAACTAAAATAATCACAAAAGTTCACAATTGTGTTCATCTCAATGTCCATAAATGACTAAAAAGCAAACAAAGTCACATGTTCAGATACTTTTCCTCAGGTTTCAAGTCTATCCTGATATGTGCCAAGTTGCACCTTCAGTATTTGGCACTGACAATCTGTCTGAACACAATTTATCAGCACAAAACCCCAAATAATTCTAAAAACGTTTAGCCATTAAAAACCATGTTTCATTTACTCTCCCTACATGTAACTGGATTGTTCCAAAGTCATTTGGGGGGGTTGCAAGAAGGTGATTTAGATTGGTACAAAATGAAGTTTATATGAAAACTGGTTAAGGATTCAAAGCACATTAGCTCTGAAGTATTAATTTTAACACCCAGACAAATATGGGGAGGTATGATTTGCACAAAAATACTTTAAATTATTTTGGTTACATTCTTCATGATCTTGCACATTTAGCTGCTTGCGGTACACGCGTGCATCCTCTTTGCTACGTCATAGACATAGGTGATGTCTGGTCGCTTCTCAGGATCAGGATTGATGCACATATTAACTAACTGCCGCAGCTGCAACAAAAGAAAAACAAGACAACGTGCTTAAGACAATCTTTTCAGTTAGTTATTTAGAAAATATCGTTTCTGACTAAAGAATTATTTTACTGGAAAAATAAATATATACATATATATATTTATAATGGCTGCCATCGATTGCACAGTTAAATGTTCTAAAAAGGATATTCATTGGAGAGTATTAATGTCAAGCAAGAAGCATTTCCCACAATCAGAGGCTTTAAAATGGACTCACTTTTTCAGATAAGTTTAACCAGAAGATAGCAGTTACTAAAGACAGGTTTTTAATTATAAGGCTCCAAGTTAACTGTAGATACACACACATATATTTGATCTAGAACTTACTACGTTAGCCTTGATTGCAAGTTTAAATTTTCATAAAAGGTGATTTGAGTACATTTATCATGAACCATTTTATATAAATATAAGTGAAAAGTTTTATACTGGTTTAGTATTAGAGAAAAAGCTCTCCTCTAAACTAAAAATACTAAATTACAAGTGAGATAAGTTAGTTATAAGTATTATTCCAATCTTCGACTGTGTGAAAGCAGCATTTAAATGTCCTCAATTTATAATGAGAGTTGAGGTTTACTTATTTACATCACAGAAAAAAAGCACATCTCAATAAACTAAGAAAATCCCATATGATCCTAGGTCCACTAAGTGGAAAAATATAGGATTTTATTCTCAGGTCCAATTGCCATCAGTTTATGAAGCTATGTCTTCATAGTAACTGTATGTGTATATGATCTTTCACAGATGATAAGCCAAACCACAAAGAGCCAGATTTGTTTGCCTTTTAAGTCTGTCTTTAGTAATAGTTTAGACATTTTGAAAACTTGCATTACTCTTTCTGGTCAGTATATTAGAACTTAGTAAATTATCAAATTACCATAATTTCTTTTTTTTTTTTTGTCTTTTTCGTGACCAGTAAGGGGATCGCAACCCTTGGTGTGGTGTTGCCCGCACCACACTCAGCCAGTGAGCGCACCGGCCATTCCTATATAGGATCCGAACCCGCGGCAGGAGCGTCGCTGCACTCCCAGCGCCGCACTCTCCCGAGTGCGCCACGGGGCCGGCCCACCATAATTTCTTCATAGTCTTCAACTTCTACCATAAAACAATTTCCAACTAGAGGAAATAGAAGTGGAGATAGAATTTGTGGGTTGAATCTGCTAACAGCACTATGGAGAAAGCTAATGCCAGTGAGAAATACCATTCTGAGAGAAGAGAAGTGTAAAGGAGGCTGCCAGATCAGGCGTCAGGGTTGGTTGGGGAGATGGTATAATGAAGTGGAAACCAATCTTGCTGAAAGTACTTTGTATCCCAGTGCCCTTACGAAAGTCACTGTCTTGGGAGGCTTATTTTTATTAAAAATAGGGAGGTTGAAGTAGAGGACCTATAAGGATTCTTCTAACTCTAATCCCCAAAACTATATGATTCTAGCAGAATGAAATTTGATGATACAATTTAGCCGTTTTGGAAATTCAACAATGTTGATGGTAATTTACAACAGCGAGAGGGCCTGAAAATTTCTATTTATATTCCTTGTAAAAAAGGCAGAGATGACATTAAAAACCCTAAGGGATATAAATATACAAGGCATTTTATTATGGTGATTTAAGAAAAATCCAAATCAGGAAGAGGTTGGCATTTTACCAGCTAAAAGAAAAACAAATACATCTGTTTATACACAATATAGAAAACAGTAAGAAAAGCATTTATAAAATAATAATTATATTTAAGAAGCTAATGTGTTCTAAAAGGCCACCTAGCTGTCAGATATTTTGTTTAGAGATAAAAATGATAAAAGAAATGGGAAGGATGCTGGGAAAAAAAATATTGTGGTACAAAAATTCATTATATTTAACCAAAATACAAGCAAATGGGATAATAATTTTTCGACTTCATAACACTGCCACATCCTTCCATCTGGTTCAGAAACCTTACTTTTCTTGCAAAATATTTCAGAATAGGGTAAAATTTCCAACACTGATAATAAATGTCTGGCCCTGAAGTTCTCCTGGCATGAGGAAAAACCTTCCAAGAGAGAATGATCTAAGTGCAGCTGAAGAAGACAGTGCTTCTCTAGCTCTCCAAAGTAAAGACAAGAACTAGGAATAATAGAAAGAGAGAAAGGTAAAGAATACGGTAAATAGAGAGACAGCAGGAGCACTAGTGAGCAGTTGCTCCTGAGCTGCTCCTTAAGGATGCCCTTTATAAGGCACGGCGGGTGAATCACTGACTGTGGTAGTCAGAACCAAAGCAATGCAGTTTTTACTTTTTCCTCCCCATTTATTTATTGGCTCACTTTCCACTGAGCATAAAGTTTATTTTGTCATAAAGACTGTTCCAGAGGAATTATTAACAGATATTACTGTGTAAAATCAGATATGTGAAATAAAGAATATGCATACCATACCTCAATTTATGAATCAAATAATCTCTTGATATAATTTTTTCTAAACAATTTGTTATATAATAAGTCAACAAAATATGAAAAGAAAAAAATCCTATAGTATTAAAATATGCTTTGGCATGACTCTCACTCATTCATCTCAACAATATTTCTAGAGGATCTAGTCTGCAAGAAGACACTATGCCGGTGGCACTTGATGACACAGATAAGACAAAGAACCTGCCCACAAATGAAAGCCCAGAATGAGAAGTGACAGAATGACTCTTTTTCCCTCCTGACTGCCTGACTCTTTCTTCCTTTCTTTCTGCCTCTCCCTTCCTCCCTTTCCATTCATTCATTTGTTTATTCAATAATTTCTTATGGAGTACTTACTACAAAGTGATAAGTGCCATAGAGATATTTGTGAGAGAGAGGTGAAAGATTTTGTGCAGCTGCCCAGAGGAGGGAATCATTACTTTCCTCATTTTCCACAAACTGTTTAACTCTGAGTTGATCTGCTCATTCACTGAGGACACCCGGCTGGCAGTTATTCTGTATTCCAGGTACTGCAACCATCATCATGGGTCACTTTCACATCCATTTGGACGTTCCATCCAATACAAAACTTCTTGATTGCCTGGCCTTAATCTTTACCTTCACTCCATTTTAACACAACCTATTTCTTAAAATGTCCTGTGTCACGTCAGAAATGTAAGCACAAGTTCCTGTCCTTCCAGTTCTCTCATTCCCTTCCTCCAGTGGCTGTGCCAATCCTCTTCTTCTGGATTTAGGTCATTCACTTCCAGCCTAGACCTTCAACTTCTCACGTTTCCTTCCTAGTTTCTTTTGCAGGTTAATCTTCCTCCGACAATCTGTCAAATGTTAGTGTGCCCCAGAGTCTTTTTCTTTTCTTAGCTCATTTCCCTTTTCACTCAAACTTCTTATTCTAAACACCCGCATTTACTCCCATAGCTTCAATAACCACCAACATGCTGAGGGACACAAAAATGTAACTTCAGCCCAGACCTCTCTGCAGGCTCCATTCACATATCTCCAACTGCCTTCTGAGCATATCTACCCATAAATACTCATATTAAACATGTTCAAAACTGAAATTTTGTGCTCCCCTAACCAGTTCTTCCTATCTTGGACAGCACCTCCAATTTCTCAAGCCAGAAACCTGTAATTCATACCAGTCACTTCATCATCCTCCCTCCCCACCTAAGAATCATCAACCAAATCCTGTTGTCTCCAGACCGTTTAAGTCTTGTGTGTGTTCCTGCTACACGATCTCCACCTGCCACACTCGTTATAGTCTTCCAACAAACAGCTCTGCCTCCAGTTTTCTTCCAACCTTCTTAGCACTGCTTAACTACCAAGCTGACTCTACTTCAACTTTAAGCATTTCACTGGCTCCCTCTTGCCCTCTGGAAAGTCTAAGACCCTCACTTAGCATGGTGAGATATGGGCCTCTAAAATCTAGCTCCTGCTTACCTTGCCAGCTTCGTAGTTAGCCCCAAACTCCTCCTCCCTTTCCGCAGCCCCACCCTACCTCCCAACCATAACAAAGCACCTGCGGTTCCAGGCTGACCCAACCATTTCATGCCCCACATCTTTGTATATGCTGCTCCTCTACTTAAATGCCTCCCGCAAAAGCCTCGCACTCTTCTGCCTGTCTGACTTACCGAGTCATCCGGCTGCATATCTCTTCTCTAAAGCCTTTCCTCACTACCCCGTTCGCCCTGTAGAACTTCCTATTTTCTATTTGGCCTCTATTATATTCTTCACATACTTTTAGTAAAGCCCTTATAACACTTTATAGTACTTCATGCAATGTCTGTCTTCTATTAAACTGCAAGATCTAGGTGGTGGATCCTCTAGAACAGGAACAGGGAGTGCTCACTGGCTTGTTGGATGAATGAAAGGGTGAATGAGGAACGACTGGCTGAAGAAAAAGGGAAGGTTTTGTGGAGCTGGCATCTGAGCTGAGGTCTGGAGCATGAAAATAATTTTAATAAACTCCTATAAAAGGGGAGGAGAGGATTCTAAGCTGAGGACACAGAATGAACCAAGGTGCTCGGCCAAAGAAAGTAAGTAGGGGTGTGTTAGAGCAATGTACCTCCGAATGGCTGGGGAACAGCAGGGACGAAGTGATGAGCTGAGACAAAGACGGACAGGGTTTAGAATCTATTCATATAGGCAATAGGAAACCAGTATCTAAACCAAGAGGGTGAGATACTCAGAGCTGTGCTTTAGCACGGATGTTCTCGGTAAAGACGGGCAGAAAGAGAGCAACGCCAGCAGAACGCTCAGTTAAGTTCCTCTAAGATTTCAGGCACAAAATGTCATGCATCAGAAGTTTTCACCAGGGTATCTGAAAGCAGAGCGTTGCCATTAGTGAAAGTGGGTAACACAGAAGTAGGAGTGGCCTTGAGAGGGCACAAGGGACACACCGAGTTTTGAAAATATCACACTTGAGATACTGGCATATAGAAATTTGGGTAGAAATATAAATTCCTGAATTTGGGGTTTAATTATGTGTCCATACCTAGAAAACTAAATCATATATATTAAATAATTTTTGTGACTCTACCCTATC